TGGAGTGTAAAGCTGCTGAAGAGTGTTTGCTGCCTTGCCAACTTGGCAACAGTTTTTTTTCTTTAATAAAAGAAGTTACCATAGACAAAGATTCCAGATGTGCCAGAACTATTTTTATTAGGGGCCCAACTGAAAATGCATTCAAGTGAAGTATGCATTTGCTTTCATAATTGCCAAATGTATTTTATTATGTCTCAGGAAAAAGGGCACAAGAAATAAGCATCATTAGTATATTTTTATGACTCATTAATTTTAATGCATCTCTCTTTCATTAAAATTATTGTAATTAAAAGTCATTTATATCAATCTTCCCCTGATCTGGATTGTTCCAGATGTTCTGAATTATAACTACGTAATCGTTGACTGTTGTCCATCGTGACTAGGAAGGATGAAAATAGTAGTCCAAAACACAAGGCTGGATCTGTATATACACTGAGAAATGGTTTAGATAGATCATACCATTTAATTTATTTATGTTGATTTTATTTTAATAATAAGAAAACCAAAAGGGTAAAACTCTGTAAATCTGGTTGAATTTTGAACGCTAGAAAAAAAGCTAATAAGCCTTCTACATATTCTTATTGAATTGTCATAAATCAAATCTATATTACTGACCAGTAATATAGGAGGTTACAATACAAAAAGGGCAATTTAATGTGGCAATTTTTGATTACAAGAAAAAAAACAATGACACTATAAAAAGCATATCTAATTAAAAATGTTCTCTGAGTTTGGTGGTCTCTGAGCTTGGTTGTTTTCTTGCAGATGTTTCATAACCAAACTAGGTAAAATGTTAAGCCCGTAGCTACAAATATGCTGTAATTTAAATTTTTGCACAATTGTATGACTTGGTGAACATTTCTGGCCACCTAGTATGTGAGTGCAGAGTCAGCCCCTCTTAAAAAGTAATGAACATATAATATTAACAGTTTGACCCCCAAATTTAGAGATGATTGGGAAGGTAAGAGCACATGTTGGGGCAATATAAAAATATGATCAAGATTTTCTCCCTCACTGGAGCCACAAGGGCAAAGTCTCTGTAAATAAGGAATCCTATGAAATCTTCCCACCAAAAGTGCTGGTGGAAGGGTATCAAAGCAGGCTCTGTAAAAGCCCCATTTCTATTTGCTTAAATTTTTTTCTGGTTGTTTGTTTAGTTTTAGATTGCATCAATATCCTGCACTAAAAGTCTTGTGGTTATCTTCTTCTTCTTTTTCTTAACTTTTTCTCTTAAGTCTCTGACTAATATTTGATGTTCAGAATATTGCAGCGTAAATTCAGCACCAGAAAAGTAAAGACAAGATGGCTGAGGCGTCATTTAACTTCTTTATAAACACATAAAGTAAATTTTTCAATTTACACATAAAGTAAATATACAATACCAGTTGTACATTTCTCCAACGTGGAGCAAACTCAAACAGAAGCAGACATGTTACAGGTTCAGAGTAGAACAGCAACTCCGGAGCTCAAAAAACAGACATCAGTTTCACTTTAGTTCAGCAGGCAAGCAAGACACACAGCAGAGGGGAGAAGCAGTTTCATTTTCAATAGACAGGCTTAGCGCTTAACAGAGCTGCAGAGCTTAATATGTAGAGCCACAACTAGGCTACTTCTAGTTTCAGTTTCTTTTAGTTTCAGTTTCCAAACAGTCCTCATTGGGTGACTTAGTTGCTATGCCTATTCATTGGCTGACCTTGTTACCATGCTTTATTCCAGTTCATGAATATACTCTGACATTTGATACTTCCAGTGAAAATACATTAAAATTGTACTTTTCATGACACAGAAGAGTATAACATACCTTCTTTACAGAGTTCAGTGTGTGCCCTAAAATATGATATGGAGCTGGAAGTAATAGGAAAATCAACCATTATAAAAATTTGCTTCAGGCTTGATTTTAGGAGATTGGAATTTCAAATTTTATAACCGCTGCTTATCAACAACAAAAGTACAGAATTCTCTAATTCTTTGCATCCATCTAGCAATCAACTACTATAGATTTTTACAGACCAGATTTGGTGGCTCTATCAAAGCAAAATCTTGGAAACACATTTATCAACAGGTGAAATATACAAATGGCTTTACATTTTTACTGTTTTAACAAAATGGGACAGAATTTTCAGGCACAGAAACCTGTTTGAATAGATAAAGGTTGTCCAGTTTCAGAGATATAGGTGCCATAATTTAGATTTTTTTTTTTTCAGAAAAGAATGCCTACGACTTTTTTATTCTGAGACATAATTAGATGACACAGTAAAAGGCAAAATTTAGCCCTCATAAAATGTGGTTATAGAAGAGCTTCTGATGAAACACTCTTTGAGCTTTGAAGGTAAAGTTGATATTCATGACACTATTCTCTCCACCATTTACATATCCCTTTGCACAGCATTTTGTAGGCAATAAAATCTATAGTATATGTCAGCTTTGTGTACAGACATATCTGTTTTTCTGAAGGATTTCAAACTACAGATTCATATCTTGGGATTCTTGTCTCTGCCTCAACCCACAGTGTGGCTGAATTGAGCCAAATCAATTTGATTCAATATTCATTATCCATACATGATGCACTAAGGGATCTCAATGAATTGATATTTGGTAAAATCATATTGATCAATAGCTTTTTAAAAATGCTGTTCATTTTGAATATTCAGCCTCTTTTTCCTTACCCAGTTAGGTTACCAAAAATATAGAAAATTGAGTATAATATTGGAAAGAAAGAAACTGAACCATTTTAACTTTGAGATGATTGCTAAGCTTTAAAGTTTTTATTATATAATTGCTTTGTGTGTGTGTGTGTGTGTGTGTGTGTGTATACATGCACTTTGGTGTAGTGGTTAAGACATGAGGCTAGAAACTGGGAGACTGGCAGTTCTAGTACTGCCTTAGGCACAAAGCCAGCTGGATGATCTTGGTTAATCTTTTTTTTTTAATCCTAGAAAAGAGATAATGGCAAACCACCTCTGAAAAACCTCACCAAGAAAACATGTCCAGGCAGTTTCTGACAATTGGACATGATTGAATCAGAGGTGGTATTCAGCAGGTTCTGACCAGTTCTGGAGAACCAGTAGCAGAACTTTTGAGTAGTTCAGAGAACCAGGAAATACCTCTGACTAGAGATTTTACAGTATCCTTCCCCTGCCATGCCCACCGAGCCACACCTACAGAACAGGTAGTCAAAAAATTTGAATCCCACCACTGGACTGAATAGAAAGGAAAAAATGTCTATATAGGAAAAAATAGATCAGCGAAATGAATTTACCAAAAATTAAATCACAAAAAAATATTTAAAAGGAATACCAATTTAAAAGATATTCCTATTTTCTATTTTTCCCAGTGGAAGACATTTAAGCCTACTTAGAAGCTGAACTTTAAGTGGTTATATTTGCCTTGCTATGTGATATATTGTATATGTGGGAGCCATTATTTTTTTAAATTTGATTAAACTTTTATTGTTTACTGTTAGCTTTGTCATTGGTTCATATTCTCCAAGTCTAAGTTCTCAGCCAGATATTTTCTTCCAATATTGAGCAACATTTATTCTCACTGCTGTAAACATATATCACTTTCTCATGATATTGATATCATAAATTGTAATTAATAGATAATTCGAATTGTAATTAGTGTATAAACAATATATTTCTTCATCTTTTTTATTTTCAATATCCCAAGTCATATAAACAATAGAATGTTAATAAATTAATACTGCTCAAATATCATTGTACTGAAACAATATAATATATCAAAATGTATAATAGAATTAAAGGGAGGAATGAATATAAACCAGGGCTGTCAATCTCCCAGCCTGTGGGCTGGATGCATCACATACTGGCCATGCCCACCCCCGGTTTTACCAAGGGGAAAAATGTCCAATATGTCACATGATTCAGCTGTGACAACGTGAGTTTGACACCCCTGATATAGACCATCCCGATTTAGAGCTAGTAAAAGGATTTAGAGCTAGTAAAAGGACTGCATATTTGAAGTGTTGAAGTTTATGTTTTAGCAAAACTGGAATACAGGAAAAGTTCACTGCCTTAAGACTTCTGCTTCATGTAAAATCTGTTGTTATCTAGTAATATTGTAGTACTGTACAAACTTGAAAGAGCCAACGTAAGAGATGTTTAAATATTGTGAGACTATGATGCGATCGAAAATTTAAGCTGTATTTCAGTTTAATTCTGTGAACATAATGTACTATCATATTCTTTACAAATTGTAAAGTGATCTTGGAAACTTCATGTTGAATTGGACTACAGGTTCTTCATGTACTGATTGTGCTCTTTGGCCAAAATAATATGTATTTATTTAGCAATAGCAATAGCACTTCAATTTATATACCACTTTATATTGCTTTACAGCCCTCTCTAAGCAGTTTATAGAATCAGCATATTGCCCCCAACAATCTGGCTCCTCATTTTACCGACCTTGGAAGGATGAAAGACTAAGTCAACCTTGAGCCAGTGAGACTCAAACTGCCCAATTGCTGTCAGTGGCAGTCTGCTGAAGTAGCCTGTAGTACTGCATTCTAACCACTGCATCACCAAGGCTCTATTTAGTATAATTTACATGGCCACATACATTTGTATACCACTGTTCCCCATAGAGAGTGTTTGTTCAGGGTTTTTTTTAGATGTATCCTTCCGTATCAGGGTTTGTTGGTTTGTCACTGCCCCAATATAGATACTTTAAGGAAATATTTTAAGGAAGTATTTAGGAAATACTTTAGACAGTATTCAAGGCAATAATTTGTGTGTTCTATAAGGTCTGTTCCTGTTTATGCTGTAATAGAGCCTGTGTTGGTAGATTATGTTATTTCACTTGAAAGAAATTCATGGCAGATCTCTTTTACATCCCTAAAACTTATCTGAAACAATGTATAATTTAACATTCAAGAAGGAAGTAAGAGATAAAATATGAGCATAACATTCAGAAAACTCTTGTAAAATGTATATTTATAAAACCTTTTATAGCTTCTAACTTTTCATTCACTGCTTTCATAGGTTCCAAATTCAAAGAGGAAAATCTGATCCCTCTGGGTACAAGAGCCTTGGAGACAGTTTTAAAACTATATTCCGGACGGAAGGGTAGGAATACCACCATACATTACAACTTTATGATTTTACTTGTTTAAAAATGTGATTGCACTGCATTTCATTCATTTCACATCTGTACCTTTTTTCATTCTGAACTAGAGTTCTAAGGTAAAGAAAACATACTGGGTTGTTCATTGCAGTTAGAATATTTTTAACCAATTGGTATATTAAAGATGCTTCTGGTATATTAAACTTTATGATGTGTAAAGGCTTACATGACTGGGGCTGAAGTGTTTACAATATTTCTTTATTAAACTGAAAAGAGTATGGTTTTATTAATTATTACTGAATGGCAACCTTTATATATTACAAATACTCCTTGAGGTAATGCTAAGGAACTAAGAAAGTGGGCCAGAGGTGGTATTCAGCAGGTTCTGACCAGTTCTGGAGAACCAGTAGCGGAAATTTTGAGTAGTTCGGAGAACCGGCAAATACTACCTCTGACTGGCCCCGCCCCCATCTATTCTCTTCCTCCCAAGTCCCAGCTGATTGGCTGGGTCTTCTTTTGTTGCCCTTCACAGGAGAATGGAGCTGGAAAGCAGGTTAGTGGGATGTGGAGAGAATGGGATTTTTGCAGTAACCTTCCCCCTGGAGTGGGGTGGGAATGGAGATTTTACAGTATTCCCCTGCCACACCCACCAAGCCATGCCCACCAAGCCACACCCACAGAACCGGTAGTAAAAATTTTTGAATCCCACCACTGAAGTGGGCATATGTAGGACGGTGAAACCATCTTTTGTATTTTAATTGTGAGAAAGACTGTGATAATTTGACATTTTACTGACATCAAAGAGATGAAGAAAAATAGGAAAAGATTCCTTGAAATTTACGCTTAATTTAGAGGTCAGTTCCCCTATTGTTTCGAGAGTAGTAACAGATGCTTCCAGGCAATTAACAACAACTTTTTTTGGATTATTAGGACATTATTTCTCATGACTGGAAACAGCCTTATCATATCATAAGGAGAAAAGTATGTGCAGTTCCAAAGTGACACCAATTATCTGGAGCAGGAGGGAAGCAATCTGCAGGCTCCCATTTTTGCAGTCTCTAAAGCTCCCACCCCAAAAAATACACTGTCAAACTTTGCAGCATGATCCCCTCTTTCTTACTTCCCACCCCCGCTTTTCATAGATTGAAACTTAAAATAGCTGTGTTCAATCTCTAGAGTAATAAAATATATGTTCTGTGTAAAAGAAAAAAAAATGAACCGCTTCCAAAATCAAGAAAAAGGGGCCTAAAATCGCAACCCCACACAGTCTAGTACAGTGGTGGCTAACCTTTTGGGGCTCCTGTGCCAAAAATTGCAAGTACACCAGTGCGCCCGGACTCACATGCCAGCACCCAGAATGCAATGTGCCCCCCTACTCCCCCTGCACATGCACGCACAATTCCCCCACCTCCACCCCCTTACCTGCAGAGTGCCTCACAGCTGATTTTTCGACTGATTTGAGGCCTTTTTTGGCCTCATAGAGGCTTGGAAAAAGTCTCTGCAAGGCTTTTCAGGATGAATTATAGGCCTGGTATTACAGTAAGTGACAAAATGGCCCTATAATTTGGCCTGAGAAGCCTTGCAAAGGCTTTTTTCAAACCTCTGGGAGGCCAAAAAAGGTCTCAAACCAACAACAAAAATAATCAGCTATGGGGTGTGCGCAGTGAGGTAAGTTTACCTGCGGCTCGTGTGCCAGCACAAATGGCTCTGCGTGCCACTTATGGCACACGTACCATAGGTTCGCCATCACAGGTCTAGTAGTATCATTCCATCATCAGCAGTGGAACTCAGAAGCCAAAACACATTTAAGAATAAAATGAAACTGCAATTTCTGGAGGAAAACTATTTCCTATTCCTGACCTAGAGAGTAAGAGATTTCTTTACTGAAAATGTTTAGGCATTTCTTACTGATATTCTAGCTCTTTCTTTATGACACTAATTGAGATTTTGATCAAATCCACAATTCTAGGTTGTATCAAGATTGTGATGGACTCTTGCTTAATGTATCACAAACTAGGTCAGTGTTTTTCAAACTTGGAACTTTAAGTGGTGTGGACTTCAAGAGTCGTGGCCCTCCTGAGCTCCGTTTTCACTAGCAGAAGCACCATGGACTGGTCCTTCACTGTTTCCAGGGCGGCCTCGTGGGCAAGATCTAAGCAACCTACGGGCCGGATCCAGCCCGCGAGCCTTGAGTTTGACATCCCTGATCTAGGTTGAGCAGATTTGATAGGGTTGCAGCTACTGGTGCTAATTCTCTGAATTGTTTAATATCGGAACTGGCAGTGTTATAAGCAATAGCATAGTTCACAAATAATGAGAAATCAGGATGTTCCTCTATAGACCCTATGATAAGTGTTATGTCCTGAGAACTCTAGGAGTTCTCACTCAGGTCCACTCACTTTGTGTGGGCGTTCTTCCCCCTTTCCTCATTGGTTGGTTCTCCCCAGCAGCCAGCTATAAAAGCAGGCTGCGGGGTCCAACCAGTTGCTGATTGCTGCGAGCCAGTTTCAGGCGTGGCAAGCACGGTCAGCCCTTTGTTGTTATAATAAAGTATTGTTGCACTCATGCTCTGGTTCAGCCTCTCATTGCTCAAACTTAACACTGGCGACGAGGATGGGATGGCTACCAGAAGCACCATGCAACCGCTGAGTCACTAGCCGCCGATCCGCAGCCCAGAGAGAGCGATCGGCCGGCGATAAGAGAAACGCTGATCCACAGCCAGAGAGAGCGGTCAGCAAACAAAAAGAGCAAACAAAAAGAGCAAACGCTGATCCGCTGACAGAGAAAGCGGCCAGCAAGCGATAAGAAGCAAACGCTGATCCGCAGCCAGAGAGAGCGGTCAAAATCGAAAGTTAGAAGCGTCTGTAGCCGCTTGTTAGCCCAGCTACAGGGAAAGTGAAGCGCTGCGAGCCGCAGCCGCTCAGTATCAGGCGCGAAATTCAAACGGTTGTCATTTGAATTTCAAACCTAAAAGGTACAGCACAGCACTGTAGCCAGTCACTGACGCCCACACAGGCGCGAATCCAAACGCCATCAACGGCTAACAGCCAAACGTGGTTAACCCAGAGAGAAAGAGAGGATTGCAAACAGCCTCTCCTGAGCTGAAATCACTTGCCCACCACGGGCACTAAAACCTTGTCTGCTGCCCCAGAGAGATTTTTCCACAGGTTGTTCAACCGGTCCCAGCACCATGAGTTCCAATCCAGTCTTCCCGGCGTTCAAACCAGACGAGGAGAAGTGGGAATCGTATAAGAACCGCTTTAATCATTATATCGATGCAGTTGGCCTGGTGGATGCGGGAGAGCATCGGAAAAAATCGTATTTCCTAATCTACTGTGGAGCCACCGTCTACGATACTGCCGCGGCGCTCGTGGCTCCTCGTGAGTTGAAAAACGTTCCGTGGTCTGAGTTACTTGAAATTCTCACTAACCACTATTTCCCCAGGCCCTCACAGATTGCCAGGAGATTCACCTTCCGTATGAGGAAGCAATCGAGCAAGGAGACCATCAATCAATATATGGCCGCTCTCAGAACAGCAGCACTGCATTGTGGGTTTGGAACCTACCTGGAGGACATGCTCCTCGATCAATTAGTCTGCGGGGTCAAGGACCTCCACCTGCAAAGGCGCCTTCTCGCAAAAAAAGACCTCAACCTCGCACAAGCAGTCGAGGAGGCCTTGGCAGCTGAGCTGGCAACAAACTCAGCCACCGAAATCCAGGGCCCAAGTGCCAAGCTGACATCACTTCCAGTCCACTCCGAGGAGGTGGTAGCAGAGGAAACCATCAGTGATGAAAACGAAGTCCACCGCCTATTCAACGACAGATGGCTGCAGGTAGGAGCCAAACAAGAAAACATAGGCCCACCCAAGCACATCACCCTGTGCCTAGCCTGTGGGGGATCTCATCAGAGGGCCACCTGCAAGTTTAAAGGAGCCACCTGCAATAACTGCCATAAAAGGGGACACATCGCGAGAGTCTGCCAAGCCCCCCAAAGCGCAGCACAAAGGCACCCTCCCTCGCACTCGGGACCACAGAGGCAAGTATTGAACTGTCGCACGCATCACCTTGCCAAGCACACTTGCCACACTGTTAGTAAAATTTCTCTCTCCGTTTCCCTAGAAGGTAAACCGTGCCGCATGGAGGTTGACACGGGGTCAGCGCTCTCCATTATCTCGTGGAACACCCTTAAGAGGCTCCAACCAAGCCTATCCACTAGCCGGCTCCAGAGATGCCAGTTTGGCCTGAAGGACTACCAGGGGAAGACCATTCCTGTAATCGGCAGAGGCAAGTTTCTTGTCAGTTTTAAAGCTTTTAAAGGTCACCTACCTCTAGTGGTAGTTAACGGCAATCTACCCACCTTATTGGGGCTCGATTGGTTTCCCCATCTCGGCCTAGGGTTAACAGGAGTCCATGCTGTCTCAACCTCAGACACTGACTCCTTATTCGCTGATTACTCAGATGTATTCAGCGAAGAGCTGGGGTGTTATAACGGTACCCCCATCTCATTCTCAGTTGACCCCCAAGCAGTCCCAATCAGGCTAAAACCGCGTAGGGTCCCATTTGCTATTCGGCCAAAACTAGATGCAGAATTGGATAAACTATTAAAACAAGGGGTCATTGAGCCAACAGATTTCGCCAAGTGGGAGACGCCCATTGTCACACCCCTCAAAAAAGACGGTAGCCTGAGAATTTGCTCGGACTACAAGACGACAATCAATAAATTTCTACAAGTTAGCGCTTATCCTGTGCCCGTCATCCAGCACTTATTACACACATTCGAACCAGGTAGCATTTTTGCTAAATTGGACATGTCTCAAGCATATCAGCAGTTCCCTGTAGATAACCAAACAGTGGAACTCCAGACAATTGTCACTCACAGGGGTGCCTTCCGATGCAAGCGTCTCCAATTTGGCGTAAGTGTTGCCCCTGGTATTTTTCAATCCCTCATGGAGCGGATTTTGCAGGGCCTCCCTGGTGTAGTACCCTACTTCGACGACATCTTA